CAGCCAGGTATGCCATCCTTATACTGGAAGAGACTGAAAATCTGCACTGAAAACCTTGTGATTGTGTTGGTTTCTAGCCGATTGCTGTGGTAGCCTGTATCAGGGCTACAAGCATTGCAAGAGCTTGGTCCGCATAGGTGGCAGTAAGTTTGAATGGTTTCTGGTGAACATTGTCTGTGAAGGAAAAACAGATAAAAATAAACTTGGGTCTATCATTATCATTCCCTGAAAAATACATGGAATTTTTTTTTCTAGAAAATTACCATGGAATTGCACAATACTTAAAATTAATTAGATAATATTTAAAATTATTTTAAATAAAGTCTGCATTTCATTCCCTGTAAAATATCAGGAAGTAAGGCAATGTTAAATGACTTTATAAAATGGCCCAACCTTGGAATGCACAAGGTACAGTGTTAAAAGGGTAAATATTGTATGTTCTTCTGGATAATTACCAGGTAATTACAAAGTATGCGAAATTACTTAGTGTAAATTTTTTCATTGTTTCCTCTAAATTTCAGATAAAAATATGTTGAAATTACATGTAATTACAGGGTACCTTTGCCCTTAGTTTCGAGTTGTATTATAAAGTGTCACCTAAAAAAGCTTTACTGTTAGCACAGACACATCAAGGTAGCACTCTGTATCACTTTAATCATAACAGGCTGAATGTCAAGTTTAATAATGAGAGCTTGGGTGACTTCGATCTCTCAATCCCACCTCTGAAAAGAGACGTACAAACTCTGGGAAGTGTTTGAATAGGACAATGTTTTTATTCTGTTTACTCAGACACGGCACCGGACTAAAACCATGAGCTTCTTTTTCTTTTAGATATTATCTTCAATGAACACAAGCTGTAACAAACAAAAGTGATAGTTGTCATAAATGTCTCTAATTTTTACACTTTCTTTTATCACTTCATCTCTGCTCCAAATGCATGCATGTTCTAACGACTTTAGAAAAATATCATGGGATGTTAATTGAACATACAACACTACAAACTCTCATGGAAATAATTTTAAAAATAAGAAATTACAGAACAATTACAACACATGTGCACTATTAACACTTATAATAATAAATTCCTCAAAAATATGTTCATCCTTTCCCCCTCAGCCCGTCCCCTGCACCCTAAATACAAAGCAGAGGTTGTCCTTACAAAACAAAGGAAAGCATAGAGAAGTCACTTGCATAAGTCACATTAAACTTGCGCAGACATGGATGACTGAAGTTGTAAAGGTGCTGCAAGCAGGGTTGGCCATTTGGATCCTCATTCTGACGAGTCAAACAAGTCAAGCTTTGACAGTAAGAACCCGATACCAGCTGCTCTTTACTTCTGGAGCAAGAGAAAAATGTTGTCTTCTGTGCTCTAACTTCTATATTTTTTTTTTATTCCATACATGGCGTAGAAATGAAAAATCCAACATTTCAACACATCCCTAAAATTCAGCCAGAGAGAGAAATATTTCCCCAAAGAAGAATGAGAGGTTTCAGTTTGTTTCGTAAGAAAATTGTTTTCTTTGTATCAAAACGGGAACAAACTGATGGTGTTTCACCTCTGCAATGATGAGGCTTTAAGACTTGGTGTGTACGGCACATCATGATGAGTCACACAGATTCAAAGACCTTTTTTTGTATACCAAAATCTACAAGCAGATATTCAACATTCATCAGGGTCCAAGCAGACAGCATCAACACCACTCTGAACCTAAGAACTCATTAATGAAATGAACCCTGAACCCTTTTTAAACCTTTAAAACCACACAGTGAAGGTTTTTGGAGTAGATAATAACAATAAATTATTATTGACAGAGACAGACAAATAAAAAAATCTGGAGTGCTCTAAAAATATTCCATAAGACAGGAAATGTTTTCTTATTCTCCCTTTTTTTTTCTTATTGATTCAGCATTTTTGAGAAATAAACTTAATCCAACTTCACCTCACAGAAACATGTGAAAATAATTTTCTAAAACCTTAAAGATGTTGCAACTATGTTGACAGCACATGTGAGCTTTGATGTTGCTGATGTGACGATACAAGAAAACCCAAAGACTGCCATGAACGTATGAGATCATCCATCAGTGGACTGACATATCATGTTAGCATTTTAGCTGCTGTCATGTTGTTGTTATTTTTTGGTTCCAGGAGTGATTGTATTTGGCTGCTATGTTGGTTCTAAGTTATCAAATAATGATAAGTCTGCATCCACAGATGGTAGAGGAGCATTACACAGACACGGATACCTGTTAAGTAGTTCTCAGAACATTCCAAATAAAATCCTAGAATTTCACCAGAACTGGAGCTCCACCTTCCTGGACCGTCTGTTAGTACAGTAACCTCATATAAGCCCTGTTATTCGTCACAAGATGTCATTAAAAATGCTCCAAAAGGCTCCAACAGCACAAACACTGTCCAGAGGTCCAGTTCCGGGACTCCAGTTAGCTGAGGTGAAACCTAGTATACATGTGTGTGGCCATCTGCATGTCAGTGAGAGAGACCACACCCCTAATTATACAGTCTATAACTCACCTGTTTAATACAGTTTAATCAGGTAAGTTATAAAAACATTTTCCCCACATACAGGTACCGTGGGGCAAAAAAGTATTTAGTCAGCCACCGATTGTGCAAGTTCCCCCAC